CCCCAAAACCCCAAAACCCCAAAACCCCAAAACCCCTAAAATTTATACTTATTTTGAAAATTTTAAATGAAAAGGGCTAGGAACAAGACTACTAGAAAGAGGATAAATCTCAGATATGTAATGATGAAATGAAATCGGCAGAAAAATAGCAGTGCAAAGAAGTCTAGCAAGAGAAAGAGATCCAACTATCCTACCAATAGAGAACCTCTAATGACAAGGTTCAATTCAGAAGTTCCTTTTGAATGTACGAGCAAATCTAAAGCTAGTGAATACCGCTCTCGGACACTTGGATTCAATGCTAATCTTACGAATGATACTAGAACTAAGGCCAAAGCAGAGAAAAAACCAAAGAAATTCAGCAACAAAACCTTCCACAAAATGCCTGATTGAAAAATTTTCTTTCCTTCAAAAGGATTAGTAGGGGAGATAGAAAGTAGGTTCAAAGAAAAGCCAAAATTTGTGATAATACCGAAGGAAAAATACATAAGAATGAGCCAAAGAAATCACTTTGATAATCAAACTCTTAAATACTCTTCTACTGGAAGACAAAGTCGAAAAATTATTGTAAATGATTACCAAAGTGATAAGTTTCAAAGAAGTTCATTATCTCCTGTGAGAGATCCTCAGAGGAAGATAATCAGGAATAAATAAACACAGAAATTCTAATGACCATCGAAGACAAAAGATTGCTGCAAATACAACTTCTTTAATTCAAAATTCTATTAAAGTGCAGAGATCTAACCGACCAAGAACCAGAGATGTGAAGAAGAGGTATGCCTTAGAGCCTTTGGTAGCATATAAAGCTGCTAAAATTCCTTTAAAATAAGAGAGAAAAGCCTCATATAAAGTTAAATGGGTTTAATGATAACCCAACAGAATGCTCTTTTGACGCTAAAAGTATCGGGAATGCGAGCATGAAGTACATTGCTCACATTGAAAATAATGTAAGCATTGCAAAAGTTTTGTTTGGAACAGTTAAAAATCTATAAATTCTTTGAATTTTGGCTTAATATATTTTTCCTTAGACCAATTGAGGAAGCAGCTATAATATATGATCAGGATACGGAAATGTAGATGACTTTAATAAAACTCTAATACAGAACAAGCATTACTGGCATGATCGAAAGGCTAAGATGATATAATGCTATTAAACCTTAATAAAAATAAACTGTTTCTTTTCTTATCCACAGAATTATCCATTTTATGCACAATCCGAATTAGTTCTTCTTAAAAATTTCAGCATAGGGAAAATTATATTTTGCCCCAAAGTTTATGCCAAGCTTCACAACTTCAAATTTTGGCAATCAAACTTGAACTATAATAGATAAATTTCTTAAAAATTCTTAAAATCACTAAGAAATCTATCCTAATCACTTAGATGAATCAACTTATGCTCCTCATTAATAAGCATAAACATAAATATTTTCAATAACTGACCTTTTAGCTGTCCCAGTCATAAAATTCGTAAGAGAAGACTTTTATGTTCAAAACCTTTACGATTAATCTAAATAAATGAACAATTAAGATGATATCAGGTTGTTTCATTTGCTTAATAGTTTCTTTTAATAAAAGTCGTGCTAATACCCAACATAAACAAACAATTTTGACACCAAATAACAGCTTATGTGGCTAAATATTGCTATGAATGGCTTAAGCAGCAACAGGTTGATTTCTCCCTTTCTAGACATAAGCCATAGTTAGGTTTTTCATAATAGAGACATAAAGAATTTATTGATAGTTTGGCTTATGTTAACAACCAGAGTTTTAAAGAGGTTGAGTTATACATCAGAAACCTTCAGTTTCAGTTAGAAAATTAATATAATCTCGTGTAGAGATTACAAGTAGAGGAGGTCGATTAGAAAGTCATAAGCGATATTGGGTGAGGAGATATGCCTAAAGTACACCTCAAATTAGATTAAAGGGATATTTACAAACCTCATGCTGATAATCCCTGGCATTGCTAAGTTTTCAACAGAAAATGATTTTATAGGGGTTTTGGGGTTTTGGGGTTTTGGGGTTTTGGGG